GTGTCCTGCATATAGCAACAGACCCGTGAAGGAATATCTTTGCCATCGGTTTGGAGAAAATCTAATAACCATCAATTGGCTCCATGGTGATAGCAACTGGCCAGCTCGGTCGCCAGACCTCACCTCACTTGATTTTCATTCGTGTGGCTACTTGAAACAACAAGTTTATGAGTCGTCAATTGTGAATATTGAAAAAATGAAAGAGAAAATCACAAATTTATGCGCACAAATTGATCGCAACGTGATACAATGAACGTGATAAAAAAAGCTAGGAAATGTTTTCAGCAGAATGGACGCAGTTGAGGTTTTAATCATTATCTTTTCATTCAATTTCAATCGTGTTATATTAATGAAATCTATTCATATAAATTTGTTATCGAATCGTTTCATTATTTGCCATATCTTCGTAGTCATTCGAAAAAATCCCATTTAACCCGGCATTGTTGAATTTTTAATAATGAACTCTACCTGAACTTGGAATAATATACTGGGTGTCCCTATTCAAATAGGAAAGTTTAGGTGCACTTCGGTGTGGCCCTGTATACCTACGATTTAATCAATAGCATATCTCGAGTGGGCATCATCAAATATACTGGGTGACTCAATTTGAAGTCGTTCGATCGCGCAGTTGATTTTTTACATAGGGGGACATTTTAGCTGGGGCACGGTGTATATCGACGCCAAAGTGTGTATGCTGAAACCAATTTAGTTTACCTCCCACGGGAGATAATATTTTTTCCCTCCCGAGGAAGTAATTGGCAACTTTTCTTCCTCTAATGGGGAAGCAAACGCCTCCTTTCGATTCAGTGAGTAGATGAAAATTCGAATTCTATCCTTTCCTACTAACGAACCAACCATAAAAAAAATCTCTCGCATATTACGCTTCTATGAAAAATAATCAACACCTTTAGATTGAGCAAATATCCATGTTTACCTATTACCTACCCATAACTATTGATTCGTCAAAACTGTTGGATATGGTTTCCAACAATATATTAATTGAGAAACAAATCCTATCTCTTAAATTCAGTTTGTTTTCGTAATTAGCATGCGCTGGTTTACCTGCAGGTTGCGAGGAAAGGACTGTCCAACATGTTCCTCGTGTTTGGACAGCAGTTTGACACCATAATGTCATAATCACAGTTTTATGTTCATGTTTACGACTACTGGGTGGGCTGTTTTCGGTAGTCTAGTACGGGGTCTTCACGTATACAGGGTGTTTATGTGGGACGCCCTTAGAGAGGTGATAGGGCGTCCTAAGGGAATGAACAATTTCCTATAAACAAAAGACGCACAAGGCTTCGTTTGCAAGATACATGGTGTTGAAGTTGAAAATATTCATAGATTTTTCATGTCCACCCTGTATGGCTCATCAAGGTGGCAAATTTCAGCGCCCCAATCACATAATGATATAAATCATGATTATAAAGTGAACTGATCAGATGTCTTGAATGTACTATCCGACATCGTCGGCATCTACATACAAATTTTGGAGTTGAATTTGGTTATTCGGTTCTTCTCGAAAACAGTGTATCCTCACGATCTTCAACACTATTTTTTACACATAACTGCATTCTCTTTCATATTATCGAATGAAATCTCGAGAAGTTTCATCGCCACCTCTGTTTTTTTCTGAGAAATCACACTTTAATACCCCTTAACGGTGTCACTGGGAGTTAGATTGAATATTGCACCAGGATATCAAGAATTTTTGTATAAAAATTCGATGAAAATTATTTTTTATCCTCATCTTCAACACCCTGTATCTCGAGGACGGAGCCTTCTACGACTTTTGTACATGAAAAACGACAACTGTCATCATCGCTTCGACAGGAGGCATTGTTTTGCATGGGTGTTGCAGTGGTATTAATTGCGTAAATGAGTGTTGATTACAAGAAATCGACTTCTTCGATTGATTTCCTATTACGCAATGAAAATCCTTGTGATAAATAGTTTTCTCGACTTCATGTCAGCTCAGGAATATCAGCATCGTTATTGTATGAGTTGGTCAGAAAAATCCAGAAGGGCCTATTTGCGCCTCCTTGGATTGCCTTATCTGAAAAATCACGAATTCAATTTTCAATTCGAGATACTGACCAGAGCAATCGATGCAAACGAAGGATTTGTGTTGAGCATAGCATATGGTTATGGCAGCTACAAACTGAACAGACGATTTCACCAAATTCTGAACATTTCCCAAAAAAAATTAATTCTTCCTCTGTTGAAGTTCTCGATGATTTCAACGCAATATGAATCCATTTTCTAGGATGTGTTCCATCGTATGGAGTGGCAAAATACGTTGAATGTGGCTTGCATAATTTTAAAATCAGAAATGATGTGATGGAAACCTGGAAATGGAAAATCATCGATTTTCAACATCCTGTATGAGGAATATGGAAAATTACAAAACCGTTTCGAGATATTGGCTTGAACGTTCGAAAAAAATGATAAATAAAAGAATAAAAAAAAAATCGGGAGCGTTTGAATTCTCTCATTTTTGTAATACTTTTTTCGAAGACTTGGTGTATAATGACAAAAATAACTCCCGACGAGTTTTGAACAAGGAATCTTGAACAGAAAGATCGCATCTCCTCAACACACAAAGAGTTACATCGTGTGAGGAAAACAAAACGGAAAATAACTGTCAAATAATCAAAAAACTAGGGGTCAAGTACACACTTACCCCCATGCATATTTTTTTTGTTCGTGCGCAAATGACTACCTATCTATTATTCTTCAAGTATTCAATCATGCTCGAGTATTTTTTGTCTGCTATGAAATTTCGATGAAATTATTTGTTTCTAAGATAATTCGAAAAGTACTGGTTATTGTTTGAAGCCTATGCGGATTACGGTAATCTCATAATGTTCACATAGTCCTATTAATTTCGTCGAAATTGGAAGAGGGCCTGACTTTTTACGTACGAAAAGGTAAATATGGAAATACTGGGTGCTCAGAGCAAATGTATCAAAATAATTTTCACAAAAAAAAATACTGATAGAAATCCAACACGTCTAAATAATTTGCTCGATATGACCTCCAATTTTTTTGAATACACATGCGAGTCCTTTCATTTGAAGAACATCTTAGCCTTTGAAAAATATTAGATTATACACAAAATCTCTCATACATCCCCAGACAATCCTGATCTACTATTTCTTTCATCAAGTAGCTATTAAAATCTGAAATTTTCGAAAATATTTTGTTTCCGATTTTATTTTCCGTTCGTTCGTGCTCGACATATCATACGGGGAAAAGGGGGGTTCGGAAATATTTTCAAAAAATTCTGCACCCCTCAGAACCGCTCAAAGCGATTTCAAAAAATGTTTAATAAATTCGCTGTTCTCGAAAAAAATCAAACAATGATCAGAAATTTTTTAATTATCTTGAAAACGAATGATTTTATCGGGATTTCATAAGAGACATAAAATACTCAAAAATGATAGTGAACACTTGAAGAAAAATAAATAGTCATTTGCGCACGTACAAAAAAAATATGGGGTAAATGTGTACTTGACCCCCAGTATTCTGAATATTTGTAAAAGGGTTCAGAATTTGCACAACTACCATGTGGCATTTCTTCAAACAATGACTAGCTTATCCAATTCAGGCATAGCTGATGTACCCTCATACGGAATTTGAACGGCATTTCTCATATAGGGTGTTAGTTATCCAATGGCCAATTTTGATATTGTGGATTTGTTGATTCATCCTGTATCAAACTCCAACGATTTGATATAACCGGCAATGTAGTCAGTCGATGGAGAAACACATCGAATAGTAAGATACAAAGTTTCATTGTTGTGACTTCTACAAAGAGATATCTCTAGGTCAACGAAAAATTATTGAAATTGAAGTTGAAGAATGTTTCATTTCGTTGAGACGCCCTATAACCTCTAGAAGTGCGTCTAACATATTACGGAACACTTTGTATATCCCAAACACCCCCTTAATTTTTGTTGTTGGATATTTTATATACATGGTCTTTCCCTACTACGCCACGAAACTTTAAAAAGTGATTCATTTGGTTGTGTTGAGGAAAAAGTTCCTAATTTGAAACCCGTTGACCGGATTTTGAGAACAAAAAATCTATAACTCTTTCGATTCAAATATGAAATAAGCAGATTCTCAAGGCCTCCTTCTTTCATTTATAAGCTTTCCAGAAGTAACCCATACCTTTGAAGACATCCATTTCGATGCTTGGTATCACTATCAGCAATAACATTTCTTGGGAAAATCACGTGAGATCAATTGCTAAAAGTGCATCCCAAAAGCTTGGTTTTTTGTTTCGGGCCAGGAGCTATTTCACTCGCCAGCCAGCTGTTCATGATCTATAAGGCACAGATACGACCTGTCCTGGAATACGTACCCTTCCATTATCTGGAGTTCAGCATCCAAATATACCCTGAAACTGTTTGGATTCAAAAAAGGGCAATTCGTCTCGTGGGTGATGCCCCGCTCACAAACTCACTCACTTCTCTGGAACACCGTAGAAAAGTTGGTGATCTGGCTCCATTTTATAGATATCTCTTGAAATAGCAACAATTGTTCCTCCTTTGGCAGTCCCCGCGAGATTACCCCTTCGAGTTGAGGCTTCGCACCCCTTCGTGGTCACTTTGGAGACCTGCAGAACATCTCTCTCCAAAGAATCGTTCATCCAACGAACAGCGGGGCTCTGGAACACATTGCCAAGGGAGGTGTTTCCCGAGGCATATGACCTCCAGAAATTCAAGAAAAACACCATTTCCTTCCTTATTTCCTTTGGTTCCCACGATGTTCTCTGAACATTACAGGATTCCTCTTCTCGTGGGAACCAGAAGATGAAAAAAATATTTGGAAAACTACTATATGGCATTTTTATCGATACAGTGACTAGCTCATACAATTCAGGCATAGCTGATGTACCCCCATACGGAGTTATTCGATGCGCGTGCTCCCTCAAGACCTGAATAGCTTCGCTTGCTTAATAAATATATATTCTTCAATGTACTGTTTTTTAGTCCCGAAAACTACCAGCAGACGATCCAGAAAACCTGGTTTGGACCGCAAACCCCGCCAAGCGTACAGTGCCAAGCAACTGGACCGTCTGGAAGGGGAATTCAAAATCGACAAGTACCTGAGCGTGAGCAAACGCATGGAGCTCAGCAAAGCTCTCAACCTCACCGAAGTGCAGATCAAAACTTGGTTCCAGAACAGGTAATACAGGTTATTTGTGCTCAAGATGCCTTTTTCGTACTCAAAGTTCTGTTCTTATTTGTTTTTTGTGCTCGAAGTTTTGATTGCTTTATTCTGCTGTAAATGCTGCTTTACACACTGTTTCACCACTTACCAAACCGATTTTTCACAACTAGACGAGTGTTCTGCCAACTATGTCAGCATCTTAAGGGGAAGATTAAGACTAAATGCTCTATCCTAGTGGGCCTGGTGAATAGACAATAAACGCCAAGTCAATGTTATTCATGGTTGGGGACTAAATAGGAAAGGCCCATTATTCTTATTCATTACTCTATTACTAATCTCAAATATCTCTAAGCTCCCATATGCATCTAATTTTCTAACATTATCGACTTGCTTAACTTATTCGTGATTATTAATATGTGTGTTATGATTGGTATTGAACATGTGTTAGGCTACACAAGATTTATCTAACCTACCATATTCAAATGTGCTGAGTGTTCTTTGAACCTTGTTCAAATGGGACGCACGGTTCGGCCTGTATATGTTTTATCACAATTATCACAACTAATTCAATATATTCCTGACTTTTCGAGTGTGTCCACCTTATCTTTTGGATCACCTGAAAATGTGCCCAACTTTGACCCAGACTGATAAACGCATTCGAAACCTAAGTATTTGAAAACCTTATCAAGTCCTCTTGTGTACTCGAAATTCTCCTGATCTCTTTCATTCGACTTGTTTCTCGAGTTGCAGCATCCTAATCTGAGGTTTGCTAACAAAATGTTATGAACAATATTGGAAAAATTCCAAAAACAGGTGACAAATGTTATGTTCTGTCAGATGTGTTCCAAACGCGAAAACTATCAACAATTCTCAAAAAGCATCAATTCAGAATGAGAGTATATAAACTTTCATACAAACTGAAAGCGGAATTATTCAAAATCGACAAGTACCTGGGCGTCAGCAAACGCATGGAGCTGAGCAAAGCGCTAAACTTTACCGAAGTGCAGAACAAAACTTGATTTATTGCTTTCTTCCAACATCTTTTCTGGGGTGCTAATGGAATTTCGTGACGCAACATTAAAAAAACAGAAGAAGGAAGGTGAATGCAAGTGCATATGGACCTGAAAAAGTGCTGAAGCTCACCTGAGTGGAGATAAGAACTTGGTGACAGAACAGGTATTCCATGCTATTGGTGCTCAAAGTTTCGATTTCAATCAATCCATGTTATTTGAAGTGCTGACATCTGCTAACAAAATTTCATGGCGCAATATTGAAGCGAATGCGAATAAAAGGTGAAAAATGTATTGTTTTCTCACATTTTTGCTTATAACTTATCAGCAAACGCATGTAGCTCAGCAAAGCGCTCAACCTCACCAAAGTGCAGATCAAGACTTGGTTTCAGGTGCTCAGGATTCTGATTTCCTCGTGCTCAGAGTTTTGATATCTTTTTGTGCACTCAGTTCTGATTTCCGTCAATCAACATGTTCTTCGACCTACTGGATCCGAATATGAAGATATTTGGTCAGATTTCCGCTTGAAACTTGAAACCTATCAAAAATTCATGAAGGACATCTCTTTTTGATATCCCTCATCCTATTCTTGGTTTTTAGGATGCCGAATCTAAATCTGAGGTTTGCTAACGAAGTTTCAGGATGCAATATTGAAAAATTCAGAGAACAGGTAAAAAATATATAGTTTCAACAGATTTTTGCTCTGAATTTCTAACAAGAAGAAATGAAATTTCGTACAAACTGTAATCGGAATTATCCGAAACCGACAAGCGATGTCTAGATCAGAACTTGGTTCCAGAATAGGTAATACAGGTCATTTGTGCTCGTAAGGGCCACTGGAGAGAAAAATGTGGAGAGGTCATTCAACATGTATTCTAAATTTCTCGCAACAGTGGTTGAATCCAAAAATTGGTAAAGAATGTGATGAGTATTATTTATCAGAACGATGAAATGAGCTCTTCTCTACATTGAACGAAATAGTGGAAATTCTTAGTCAGAGCTTCATAGGCTTTGTGTGAGTAGTTACTTATATAGTGCGAGAATCTCCCAAATCTTCTACTTCTTCACTAAATTGAACAGAATTATCATTGATTGATTGATGAATAAACTCTTGCGACCCATTTTTTTCTCCCAGAAATGGTTGCATTAGTTGACGACAGTGGTTGATTGAGAATGTATGAAGATTATATGAGTCATAATTTATAGCAATTACCGCTTGATTCGTTCCATCCAAGGAGAAAGACATATACAACTGCGTATTGTCAGCGTAGTAATGTTGTAAACACAGGAAGAAAATATCTGGAAAATTAGATATATAAACAGAAACAAGTATAGGGCCTACTATTGAATCTTGGGGCACTTCGGTATCCACGAATGAAAGATGTCGATACACTTCCTCGATTTATCACAGCTTGACTTCTCTTAGATAGACAAGATATAAATAAACCCACTCAGACCCTTTTCAACCTTTTCTCTGGCCTGTCATGCGTCGGCATGTCGGCAAGACTGAGCCAGTTCCGTCTTGGAATTGAAACATCAAGACCAATACCAAGACCAAGACAACATTTATTTCTCGAGAACAGACTGATCAGTCTTGCGGAGCCCTAGCGGAGACCGCCAAAATACGTTATATTCCAACTAGCGCTTGTGCCCGAATGATTCATCGAATAAAAAGAAATGTGACAAAATTTTAGGAAATTCCATTGACAATTCAATTCATGTATAAAAAATCCCACAAGACGCGTGATTTTGTCATTATGACAGCGAAAAAAGTTTGCCCTAACTTTTCCAGCGACAATAACGGAACCTAACTCTTAAAAGCATGACGACCAGCTGTAAATAAAATGTTTGATGAATCAAATTGTCTTGCCGAATTACACTCAGCTTTTTTTTTAGTCAGAGTAAACTCGGCATTTTTAGTTCAAATTTTGTTGTCATAAGGTGATTCAACTCAAAGAACTGCTAGAAAAAATTACTCGTCCTACGGACTCGTAATCTTTTTAGAGGCAGTTCACTTCGACAGAAAAAGCTCCCGTGTAATTATAAGTGACAATTTAATTCATGTATGAGAAATCCCACAGGCCCCGTGATTTTGTCATTATGACAGCGAGAAAAGTTTGCTCTAACTTTTCCAGCGACAATAACGGAACCTAACTCTCGAAAGCAGGACGACCAGCCACAAACAAAATGTTTGGTGAATCAAATTGTCTTGCCGAATCACACTTTAGCTTTTTTTAGTCGGAGTAAACTTGGCATTTATAATTCGAATTTTGTTGTCATTAGGTTTTTCAACTCAAAAAACTGCCAGAATAACTCACTCCTCCTACGACCCGTGATTTTTTCAGAGGCAGTTTTTTTCGTCAAATTGCCAGGCAACAAAATTCTCATTGATACATGTCAAGTTTACTTTGACAAAAAAAAGCTCCCGTGTGATTATAAGTGATAATAGGATGGCTATTCGAGAAGGGTGATAGTTTTCGATATATATCTGAGCAAAAACCGCCAGAGAACTATATTTTCCACCACCAATGTGCACATTCAGTTTCTCGAAATACGTATTTTTTCTCTTCCATCTCTTGAAGCGCACGAGAGGAAATTCCTATAATGTTCGTGATACAAAAGTCAAAACTTCCCCATAACTGTTAAAAACACATTCAAATTGTATTTATAGGAGAACCAAGTGGAAGAAGCAGCTGACGACGCGACTGAAGATCGCCCAGCGACAAGGGCTGTTTCCACCCCACTATTTCGCCCCTAATGCCGTGCCGCTGTTTAACCCCTACTATTCGCCGTTGGGGTGCGTGTTGGGGGTTGTTCCGGGAGAGGGAGCTAGTGGTTCGTCGGCTGAGTCTGTTATCAGGAGGAACACGTGAAGGTTCCACTTTGTTGAAAAAGTTAGAGAGTGTTAATTGAAAAGTGTTGTCGTAACAAAAAACAGTGGATTCCTCATATAAATAGTGGAATGTTTTTGATTTTCGAAATTTTTTCCTGGGCCGCAACACTAAATGAGCCTAAAAATTTGAAAACCAGCACTCAACAACCTGGCATTTGATTGGAAAATGTATTTCTAGTGGTTAATCAGATTTTCAGACGTTTCTTAAAGAAACCAGGATATTGTAGTTCCTTTATAATGAAACGCCATTTTTCCCGAGAACTGTTCACTTTAGAGCATTGAAGCAAGAGGGCCCTTTTTGTGTGAATATTACAAATTCTTCAGTTGCACAGAGATTTGAGAGGTTGAACCCTCGATTGAGAGGCTCAAATGTGTTCCTTATCAATGATGAAGTGTGTACAAAGTTTCAGTTCCGTGGCTCAATCGGTTCCTGAGATAAGTGCAAAAAACTGATTTTTTTGACCCGGTATCCTGAAAATTAAAGCCCGGAGTAACATTTCGAAAAGGAAGAAATCCTTTGGTTTCATGAGGAATCTATACTTTTTCGTTGCAACACTTGAATGTTGAAACCCTGAATAGGCTTGTCTAAGAAACCTGAATGTTTATTTCGAACTTCAATATTCATTGGCTAGTTCAATATTTTTTCATCTTGTTGGAAAAAGAATTCATCAAAACATACTGCTGTCGACGATATTTTCGGGTACTTCCAACGGTTTGTTGGTTGGCTGAGCTTCGTGAAAGACTGAACTCTTCAGAAATAATCTTTATCATCTTGGAATCTAAGAAATATATTTCGACAAGATTAAAACAAAAACTATACAGGTTGGGTCACGGTTGATGGCACCTTAGACGTTTACGGATAACGGGACATTAGATCATTCTGAAACTTTGATTGCCCAAATAATTGCTCTTGATCTATCGATCTGAAATATTTTCAGCAATGCAGCGTTGCCGCTTATTCCAGAAAGTAGCAGCATCATTGTTATTTCAAAAGGAAGACCCTGTATATTACCGCATTTTTCAACTTATTATCACTTTCTGATTATTCTGCCTCTTGCTATCCTATACCTATCTCTAACGATTCTTGAGATATTGATTATTTCGCATTTTTATCCAACACATAGCTCGAATTGAGTTTTTATTTTTGCGGTATTTGGATTCTTATAGGAAGTTGCAATCTTGTGTTTAGTTCATCAAGATCATGTATATCGCTCATGTAGGGAGAAGTTTGTTCTGCGTTATACAGGGTCGTTGAAAATTCATGATCTCACTGCTAGATACAAAAAGGGTTGAAAGTGCGTTTTTTCAAATAGAACACCCTGTATATAATGCAATATCCTGAAATATGACTAAACTCCTTTCGAATTGATATTTTTTTATTTTTAATATACATCCACTGCCTAAACTCAATTATATATAGGAGTACTTAATATAGGTTACAACATGTGGTTGGAAAGATAAAGATAATCATAGTAACAATATAGTAGTTGAAATAATAATAATATTAATAATAATGATAATAATTATAATGGAGATAATAATAATAATCATAGAGAGTGAATTGGAAATGGTTTGTCTGAATTGATTTTGAGTGAGAAAGAAAATATCGACTGTCGCAAGTTTATTACAATTTCTGCACATTGAGTTCATTGGAGAATGAAATCAATGTTGTGTGGAAAGTATTATGATACCACGGGAGGCTAGTCGTGGTATGTTGAAATCAATTAGTGATAGTAATAATGTCGCAGAATTTATGGAATTATGAATATTTTTATGTATGAATAATAGGTCACCGATATATCTTCTCTTTTTCACTGATTGGAACTTGACTTCGATCGTTCAGAAGGAGTTCATAAATATAATTTCTTTCAGGATAGCGTTTGTATTTTTTGTAGAATAGGTATTTTAAGAACTTTTTTGTACCATCTCAATTGCTGAAATTGTTTGTTGGTGATATGGATTCCAAATTTGACTACAGTATTCCAGTATAGACCAACATATTGAACAACAAAAAAAGGGCATCCAGGGAATTGAATTCACTACAAGTTCGAATTAGGCAACCCAGTGATTTCATAGCTTTTGAAATTACTGCTTCGTAGTGATGAGTGGAAGTTAGTTTGTGGTCGTAAACAATTCCCAAGTATTTTTGCTGTGTTACTCTTGATATTGACTCTTCGTTATATCATATTCCTATACCTAACCAGACAGAATTCTGAGATAGGAGCAATTTCCTAGTAACATAAAATTATTTCCCTCAAATTCATCTTAGTTTGCTATCAATGGTCATGCTATATAGAATTTTGGAAATTTGACAATTATTAGTGCATTAGTAATAATACCTTCTCTTTGTTCATTGGTCGTGGATCAGTATACGTTTCATTGAATTTTCTGTACGTTTTTGCAATAATTCCCTCACATTTTCCATGGAGAATTTCATCAGAACTTCGTTTGAATATTCATTTTTCTCCATTTCAAATCTTTTTGAGTCACTTTCATTGAGAAACACACAAAGATATCATTACTAATGCACTAATTGTAAAATTTTCATAATGCCATAGCCACCCTAGATGGATATGAGAAAAATATTTCGATGTTTTCAGGAAATTGCTCCTATCTCGGAATTCTGGCTATTTTTAACGACCCTGTATAACGCAGAACAAACTAAACATAAAATTGCAACTTCCTAATAATATCACCTAATAATACAAACAACGCAGAAATGAACATTCAATTCGAGCAATGTTTTGGATAAAAAATATGCAAAATAATCAATACCTCAAAAACCGTTAGAGATAGTCATGGAATAGTATGGGGCAGAAATAATCCGAAAGTGATGATAACTTTTAAAAAAATGCCGAAATATACAGGGTGTCCTGTTTGAAATAACAAAGATTCTGCTGTTTTCTGGAATAAACGGCAACGCTGCATTGCTGAAAATATTCCAGATCGATAGATCAAAAGCAATTATTCAGGTAATCAAATTTACAAAATGATCTCATGTCCCGTTCTCCGTAAACGTCTAAGGTGCCATCGACCAACAACTCTCCTGTTCCGTTCTTGACTATACAGGGTAATATTGGCGAAAATATACAGGGTCTTCAGTAATATGTGAGACGCACTCTGAGAGGTGATAAGGCGTACCAAGGAAACAAAAAAAGTTACCATAAAAAAAGTCGTTAAAGACCTCATTTGCGACATATAGTGCGTTAAACTCACAAATATTTATAGCTTTTCCATCTCCACCCTGTATGTCTTATCGTGCTGGCCAAAAGTAGTTCGTTATGTGACTGGTATAGTGCCACAATTACAGAATAATATTTATCATGTTCATAGAGTAATCTGAACAGATGTCTTGAATGGACTTAGCCGATATCTATATATAACGAGTTGAATTCGATTATTCGTTTGTTTCCAAAAAAGCTATTTCTTAACGAGTTTCAATACTTGATGCCTTTCTCCACAAAATGGCATTCTCTCTCATCGTTTAGAATAAAATTTCGAAGTTTCATTGCCACCAATGTTTTTTCTCAAAAATTACAACATTACCCCTTAACGGTGCCACTGGGTGTCAGATTGACTGAATAATGCTAGCAATCCTATCACTCTCAGATACAGAATAATGCATCAGAATATCAAGATTTCTTCTCAGCAGTTATCTAGAAATTCGATGAAAATTATTTTTTATCTTCACCTTTAACACCCTGTATCTCGCAAACGAAAACTTTTGAGCTTTTGTTTATGGAACCTTTTCCAGTCTTTTGAGACACTCCATCACCTCTCGGAGTGCGTTGCACATAATTACGAAACACTCTATATACAGTGTGTGCGATATCAACCCGCAAAACCCTCCCATAATTTGGAATCCGTCGACCGATGGATCCGTTATCTTGAATTTCCCAATTATGACGAACGAATCATATTCTCTGGCACGAACACCCTCAGATACCAATTTTGAATAGAATCAGATCCCAATTACATATTCATATTCGTACGCAATCTGGGATCCGCCATATTGAATTTCCAATCAAAGAAATAGTTCACGATCGATATATACACAAAAATGTTAATAACGGTTTCTTCTCAAAAAGGAAGTGTCCTAACGAGTTCCAACTCTTGTTTTTTTTTGTACAAAATTTGATGGTCCCTTATACTTAGTCTCGAATGAAACTTGGATTTTTTGCCGTTGCTCATAATTAAGTAAAAAGAAATCTATAATTTTTTTCAACGGCGCCACTAGAAATCCCATTGGCTGGCTATCATCCATGCATTCACCATCAGGATCACACCAATTCTTTCGAATATTTTCTATTCTTCTTAAGTGGTTTCCTAGCAATTCAGTTAAACTCATTATTTTTCATCAACTTTGAAACCCTGAAACTTGAGAAGATATCAATCTTAGACATATTTCTATAGGAATTTTTAGTACATTACTAAAATATGCCGAGGAATTACCTTCAATATGTACCTGCCATTCATGGAAAACCTGTATATAACATCGCTATATAATAACTACACGAAACAAATTAGTGAACACGCTTATACTTGGTTCAACTTCAGAACTAAACTGCTCAACATTGATAACGTCGTGCTCCAAAATATAGCCTGAATTCAAAGTAGAATAACTCACGAATTTCATCACCAACTTGAAATCGGTTTTCACCGATGATTAGCCTAGTCTCTTGACAGTTTGTTGTGGCAATATGAAACTTCTGTAATTCCAGATGACATTGCTACAGGGTGATTATTGAATGGGTGTGAACTTGCATCGTGGTCGTCACCTTACCGTTTGAACAGATTTTTTTTTTGATTTTTTTTTTTCACCTGTGTCCTCTTGATTGATGGTTTCTATCGAAACGTTTTCGGAATTTTCGAATTCAGAGCTTTGATACTCGTGTTATGGATATGCATTCTGAATGATGCATTGTTTCAAAGATTTATTGAA